GAAGTTGTTTTTCTAGTATATTTTTTCCTTTTCCACCCTCCTTCTGAGTGATTAGTGTTTGACCAGCTAGTCTCTATCTCTGCTCCAGGCCACAGAGGCCATCTCAGTATAGCCTGGAAAGGTGCCTCTGGGCCACAGCCTTGTAAGAAGTTTTAAAAATTGCATGAAAATTGCTATAGAAATATTGTGAGCCCTGATGAACACGCCAGCACATAAATACTTAAGGTGTAAGATTTCTTTTTTATTGGAGGTAGCATTTCAGTCGTCCTGGTGTGTTGTGCCTTATTTCTGCTGTGTACATACTTGTGTCATTAGTCACATGGTATGTGTCTTTGCACCTGATTTCTCAAGACTCCCTTTTTGAAACCACATTTTAAAACTAACAATTATTTACGTGGAGAAATTTCTTTCTGCACCATCAAGAATTCTCATTTCTCATGTCATAAATCTTTATTTTTTTCACTTTAAGTGTCTCTGCAACACACAAACGGAGCCACTTACACAGCAGCAGCAGTAGTAGTAGTGTCCCAGTCCTGGGTTACTACTACATGCCATGCATTTCTCTACATCCAAACCACCAGCTGTTAGTCTTTCCATACACACACACACACACACACACATGCACAAAGTCACTTCACTCTCCCTTGGACTCTCTCTACAGCGATCACATTCCCTCTCTACATCACATCGCAAGCCAGCAATGACAGATGCTAGCCTCAAGCCCTTAACCCCTAACCCCACGCATGCCCCTATTTCTGGGGCAAAGAATGAGGGTGAGAAGCCTGAAATGGCGTCAGTTAATTTAAGCCTAAAGGGGCAGCTTGAACCTTAGCGATCCGATTGTCCAAAACAAAGGCAAAGTGTTGAGCACAGTTTTCCGTTTTCACCTTCCTGACAGACTTTGCTGCAGCAATGCTGCCTTGGGTAGCTTGAGTGTCACGTACTCTTATTTGCCACTGTCATAAATTTGCCATTTAAAAGCACAAGAATAAACGCAGCTAATGAGCCTTCCGGAAGGGTAGCATTGTTTTCCGAAGAAATTTTTACTTCTTTGCTTCCATATTGCGGCCACGATGAATAAAAGAAGGCATAAAATGTCCACCATGTGTACACGTCTATCACTGTGAGCACATAGCTCAGGCCTGCGCACTATGGATGATGAAATCTTATCAGGTCAGCTGTAATCGAGAGTTATTAATATTATCCAACCAACCTCCACGACTTGATGGGGTCTGTGTGTGCATGCTCGAACACTGCCTAGGGAGGAGAAGTGAGCTTGAAACTGTTGTCTGCTCGTGTTGTACTTTAAAGGCTGCAGAAAAATCGTTGCCCTTTTTTAATTAGTCACGAAAAAATTGAGTTTATAATTTCTCTCGAGCGGGAAGTGATATCTTCAAGTTATTTTTCTTACTCATCTAACAGTCTTACACATGCTGCTCGATTCATCAGGATCCATTTGCTGTTTCAGCCTGATAAATGACTGGAAAGATTAAAATAACCAACCAGTTTGTTATGTCTTTGCATTTACATGCATAGAAAATTGGATCAAAATGAAAATAAAAGCACCTCTGTCTTTATATTCTATATCCGACATTAACTGCAGGGCACTTTCGGTCCCTTTGTTCTTTTCTAATTGGTTAGGTTATATGGAAAAACCTTTTACTGGTGCCAACTTAATCACTGTAGATGGAACAAAATCAAAAACTGCTGCAAGCACAACTGAAGAAATGGTGCACTGTAACAAGCAAACTTCCTGCTAAATGACTTTGTGTAGCGGTGGAGGCGCAAATTGAACTTCATTTCACAATAGTGTACAATGGGGAATTTAAGTATACCAACTGACAGCTTCTTTGCCAGTTTCCAAAGGAGCATGCTTTTAAGACATTTACCGCAAATGTAATTGAGTCCCTGTTACGGAAGAAGTTGCAGCGTTTGTTTAAAACCACCGGGCATGCCTGAGCTCAACCACCAGCCTACAGCTGAGTTTACCTTTTGTGTGAGAAGCACACTGTGCTCCTTTATTATCTAGTCCACATAGTCTCTTTGTACCAAAACATGTTGTAGCATTTAAAAAAAAAAATACAAAAATTATCTTTAATATCTAGTGAGGTGTGTGACTTTATCTCCATCTTTTCTTACTCTAGGTTCCGTCAGCTGCAGCTGGGTACAGACAGCCGGGTGGCAGAACTATCCAACCAGGCCAAGCTGCACTCTTTTGAAGCTGAGCGCGCTAATATGGTCAAGGATGAGACGGCTAAAGCCCTAGCTCAGTGTCAGCTAGAGTGTGAGAAACAGCAGAAGAAACTAGAGGTACTCAGACATAAAATGATGGGATACCCGATTACTAGTGTGTTTGTTTTACTTTCTGCTTGAGTTAATGTTACAGGTTGTTTATTCGTATTAGTAATTGGATTTCTCCTAGAATTTTTAAAAGCAGGTTCAGTGCATCCTGCTGAGGTCTGTGGAGCATTCATTACAGAGAGTAGCACGCAACTTAAAAATTCTCTCAGTCTTCTTATTTAATTCAAGATTACCTCAGTCTGATTGTCACCTTGAACACTTCTTTGATAACAAAGTTGGTGCTTCTAGTCTACTCCTATTTATCAGTCAGTCAAAAATGATCTGTTTGGCACAGACGGGAGAAACGTTGCCCACAAACATACGATGTTGTTATTACAACCGAATATGCACAACTGAAGCCTAAAATCAAGTCCGTCCATAGTACTTAAAAATTAACACGGCTATGCGTCTTCATAAATCGCTCCAGTGGGTTCATTTTTATTTGTGTCCAATGAATCAAGCGTACTTATGAAAGAAGTACACTAAGTGCAATTAGTCCTTGATGTCTGGATGCACCTCTCATCACATCACGTGTTCTTAAAAGGAGAAAAATGATATATATATATATATTATATAAGTTAACGGAGACAAAAAGCAAGGCTTGCAATGACAGCTGTTATTTTAAAAAAAAACAAAAAAAACAAAAAAAAAAAAAAAAAAAAAAAAAAAAATAAATAACAACACATATATATATATATATATATATATATATATATATATTAGTATATATATAAAAATTTTTTTTTTTTTTTTTTTTTTTTTAAATTAAGAGCTGAATTGCTCTTAATTGGGCGGTTTTTGTCCTCCATCTGATCTTTCTTTTCTCCTGATCTATTTTTCGAGTAAATGTTGAAAAGGAAAAATGGTAAAAGGAAACAATTTCTAACAAGTTAATCCAAAAACAAAGTTTATGTAATCACGTATGTAATGGGAACAAAAATATACCCTACGTCTCAAGATATTACTCCATTATCCATCATTTGATTACGATGGTGGAACATTCATTCTGATTAAAAGTCCGTGTAATGCTTTGTAGTTCACCGTTGATTAAATCAAATGGGAAAAATCAGTTTAAAATTTTCATTATGCCTTTAAGGTATTTATCAGTGCTGTAATTACGCCATCTTCTCTTTTTAGTTAATTACTATCTAGCCATTATCTTATTTATCTTGTCATTATCTTATAAGCTGTATTTGAGCATGTGTTTCATTATGCATCTGCACATGAACTGAGGCATGGTGGAGAGACACACTCAGAGGGGTATGTAAGTGAAGGAACTCTATGTTTAATCTGAACGATAACAATATTGACCTGTGGCTTCAGTACATAAATAATGTTTAGGTACTTCACCACAACTTCCCAGTATAGTGTACTGTGATTAAAAAGACAAGCGTCAAATAGTTCCTAGCTTCCTCTTTTTGCATTGGACATTGCATCTTTGTTACACTTACATGTTTCAGATCCTCAAACAAATTTTCTTTTAAACAAAGATAACCCAAGTAAATACAAAATGTAGTTTTTAAATTATGATTTTATTTAGTCGGGGGGGAAAAGAGTTAAACCCACCTGGCCCTATCTGAAAAAAATATTGTCCTGCCTTTTTAAGTTGTTAATTAATTGTGAGAAAATTTAACCTCATTTATTTTGGAAAGCTAAGTTTAATTTCACTAACCACACCCAGGCCTGATTCCTGCCAGACCTCTTGAATCAAGAAATCACATGCCACCATCTAAAAAAGCTCAAGAAGAGATGGGAAACAATGTCATTGTCACTCAGTCTGGAAAAGATTAAAAAGCAATTTCCAAGGCAAGGCTTTGGAACTTCAGTGAACCATCGTGAGATCTATTAATTACAAACAGAGAACCTTCCCAGGAGTGGCCGTCCTACCAAATACTCTAAGAGTGCATCAATGACTCATCCAGGAGGACACAAAAGAACTGCAGACCTCATGTGTTTCAGTTAGGGTCAGCGTTCGTGATTCAACAGTAAGAAAGAGACTGGGAAAAATGGCCATGGGAGACTTCCGAGGAGAAAACTACTGTCGACCAAAAAGAACACAAAGGCTCATTTCATATTTGCCTAAAAACATCTTGATGATCTGTTGATGAAGACTTTTAGGAAAATTCTATGGACTTATGAGGGAAAACTTTCTGGAAGCTTTGTGTCTCATAACACAAGAAACACAGCATTTCATAAAAGGAACATGATACAAACCGTCAAACGTGGTGCGGTGGTGGTGGTGTAGTGTGATGGCCAACTGGTGGAACCGTGAAGCTCTCTACCACCTCTGAATGGCTACAAAACAAAGCAAAATGAAGGTTTTTGGAGTGACCTAGTCAAAAGCCCACATTTAAATCCAATTAAGATTCCTTGGAATGACCTTAAGCAGGCTATTCATGCATGAAAACCCACCTGTTTGGCTGAATTAAAATTTCTGAAAGTGCGGGCCAAAATTCCTGCACAGCAATGTGTAAGACTATTTCCAAGTTACTGCAATTCTTGCTTCCAAGGAAGGCACAGCCAGTTATTAGGTTAGGTTTAGATAGCTGTTTTTCTGTAACAAATGACATTGTCATTTAAAACCTGGCTGTCTTTTTATAATACTAAAATTTGTTTCATAGTCTGAAACATGTAAGTGTAAGCCTGTTGTTACGATGAATTTCTGCCTGCAACCATATATGAAACCTACAAGTAAAATATAGGCTCGATTGTGCAGCAAACTGTGTGGTAGTATGAGCATCAAACTGAGTTTGGTAAAACAGCAAAGGCAAGAAGCAAAATAAGCAAAAGCAAAAAAGCACTCATCCAATCCAGGAAATTCTTGCCCCTCAGCTGTAAAAGTTTGATGGGGTATTGTCGTAACCTTGCTGGCTGGGCGGGCGGTTTAGACACTCAAGTTAACTTAGAAACGAGGTGACTTCTCATCTCAATGAACTTGAACTCAGGGTCAAGATCAGAGGTCAACCTTTTGGAAAATCGCCTCAAATTTATACGATAGGTGTCTTTACTAGCAGGCTGAGGCACAGCATTTTACATTTTCTTTCAGTCTCTATAAACTTGGCAGTATCAAAAGATTTCAAAGCCTTGTGTGTGTCCAGGGTTACCTTAACATTTATTAACCATTTTATCTCTTTATAGCGAAAGGTTTTTTGCTACTATGTTAGTTTGGGGTGGTGGGGAAAAATAAATCAATCAATAAAAAGTATTGGGATATTTTGCATGGTGATTTTTGTAGCTATACAGAGAGACCAAATATCAATATTATATTAAATTATTTTAAATACTCTGGGAATTCTAGAAGCAAGAGGGCTCATATCATGAGTTTTAATGCAGAGATTAGAATTTATATTAAATCGCCTCCATCAACAAACCATCCCACACTGGGATAGCTTGACATGGCAATGTTGCCATCAGTGCGAATGACTCTCTGTCAGTAAGCACCACTCATGGGGACTCGAGTCAACTCTTGTGGCAGTTGCACAGGTCATACGCGGCAGGTTTATGACAGGATTTACTGATAGCGTTGGCATGTTTGACAACCTCATTTTACAGCAAAACATAACTGAAGTGAGATAACTTTTATCATTTTGGAAAAAGCTGATCTTGATAAACTATAACTCTGCGGACATAATTTGGAAACAAAGGTGTTAAAGTGCAACTAAGAACAATAGTTTTGAACATTATTGTCTGTCTCTCTGTCTCTCCTCCTGCTGCTAAGCTCCTCACTCAGGAGTTTTACAGGCTACAAACTTCCTCAGAGAGGCGGGTAGCAGAGCTGCAGACTCAGAACGCTGAGCAGGCGTCTCGCCTGGAAACGTATGAAAAGCTCGAGCAAGAGCTGGACCAGGTCACCATGCAAGCCGCCGAAAGTAAGAGTATCGCATTATCTCTGTGGAAACAGCTACTTTAAACACATATCTGTGAAATCAGACAGACAAAAGCAAACAAGTGCACTCAACTGGAACCTAACATTGGAAAAATGTGTGTAATACAAATTACATAATAATCTTATTTGGGTAAGATGGGAGATTGACATAGAAAGATGGCAACAAAATCTTAATACAGTTTTATCTTTTGATCTTTTTAAATGCCTGAGCTTTGCAGGAAAAGAAAACAAACCACATGTTTGTACCTGTTTATCTTAATAGCCCCGCAGACATACTCTAATTCCAGTTGTACCATTATCTCTTGCCAGTTGAGAATGAAGAAGAGGCAGAGAGGGTTTTATTCTCATATGGCTATGGGGCAAATGTTCCTACAACGGCCAAAAGAAGACTAAAACAGAGGTATAGTACATGAAGCCCTTCACTGCATTTCAAGCAAAGGATGCAACACAAATGTTGGTCTTTTAAGGTTTTGCATCCTGCATAAGATTTGCAAAACATATTTTGAGTGTTTAAAGAAATGCATCATTTATATTGTCATATATTCTTTTCCTTTGTATTTGATTTTGAATTTTGCCCTTTATGTTGCAATACTGGTAAACAATTTGCTGTTTATGCTTTAAATGTGACACATATCGTGCATCTTTGTGGCTTTCTTCTTTGGCGGTCACCCACACGGTGTCTTTTGCCTTGTGAACTAAACAGTTGTTTAACAGTAATTCCTTAGAAATACCAAACTAGAACATCTGGGCATGTTTCCACTTAGTCTTTTATTTGATTTTTATCTCCAGCATGTGCAGCCAAAAGGCTAAATTAATCTCATTGCCTAGCAGCAGACTCTAGAAGATGCATTGTGTAAATACACACTAGTGTAATCTTGTTGATTTTTGTCTTGTTGATTGAAATTCCCATAACTTTTATGTGGCTGTTGTGCAGCGTTCACTTGGCCCGCAGGGTGCTGCAGCTCGAGAGGCAGAATACATCACTGAGGAGAGAGTTGGAAAGTCACAAGTCGCAGACGGGGCAGATATCCGAAGAGGTAAACACCTGAAACAATATCAAATTCCCTGGAGAACATCATTAATATGAGAGTGGTACTTGTTAATTTCTAAGGAAAACAAACTTGAAAGCATTTCAAGTCAGTACCTGCAAACACTTGTTTTCCCGCCGTGACAAAACTCCTACAGCGACTCTGCTTAAATTTATTCCACTTTTTCTGTCAAAGTCACAATGATTTACGTATTCCCTCTTGTAACAAAAGAAAGTCATTACAAAGCCCAACCTTGATGGCTCCTCTCTCATCTCTATTTACCTCCTCACATTGTCACGACTGTGGTATAATCACTTCTCTTTGAAAGGCTGCCATTGGAGCCGTGACATTAGGTCACATCTTGAAGAATGGAAAAAATGATTTTGGCGGAGTGTGCGTGTGTGCTGTACTAAGCCAAAGTTTTAGGTACTTCACAAGGGTAAGCATGACAGTGACCACAAATATATCCATAACGGTGAATCCTGATCTCAACGGCGCTGAATTTGCGTAAAGAGAAAGAAGCACCTGCCACAGGTTAAGTCCTCAGAAGTGGCATGGCGAGTTTTCCTGGACGACGTGCCAGGTGTCTTTAAAAATTATGCGCAAGTGAGCTTAGGAGGATTTTTATTTTTGTTTTCTTCTGCGTAGTTGTGTAAGACTTTATTTGTGGTATTATTTCTTTCATATCATCCTCAGGGCCAAACTTTTGCACAGTAGTGAGTATCATCCAACCCACTTAGGGACACATTGTGATGGTCCCCTGCTTTTTTTTCTGAATCTTCTGTCAACATTTAACAATGAAACTGTCAGATTCCACGTTTGAAGTCAAATGACGAAAATGGCAGGTTGTTTAAAAACAAACAGCATGCATTGCAGACTTTGTATGAGAAGAATGTGAAGTTAGTCATAATACCTGTCAAACGTTGTTGATACAGTGGGAAGTATTGCCAAAAACCATGACAGCCATTGAGCTTTTGTTGCGTTTGGCAGTATGTTGCGTTTGTGTATGAGTGTGCAACACTGAAGCTTAAAGTTTGGGTGTGTGAATTCTCTCTGTATACAAATGTGTATGTAAAGTCACGTGTCTGCCACTCGTGCACTAATGGGAAATTTTATCCAGGAAGACTTTTAATTATAATCCTGATAGCTCTGTCAGCCAAATGTGCTTGTGTTTTCCTTTCTTTTCTTCTTCTTTCTCCTCACTCATTATTATAAACTCAATGAGAGGAGAGGTTGTGCAAGCCAGAATGGGCAGGATTTAAATAAGCCAACCATTCAACTGTCAGCTGTGATCAACTGGCATTCATCTGGAATAACTCATGATTCACTGAGTATACAAGAAAAGAAGAAGAAAAAAATTATACTTCCTTTTCACTAGAAAGGCTCAGGGTGTTAACTGCTAAACCACCCACACGAATGCCCTGACTAACTAACGATTGTCCTTAGCCTCCACCCAGTTCTACTCACTATCGGCCAGTTGTAAAAGCAGTTTAATGTTTAACACCCATACTTTATCTAGTGTTCAGCAGATTTTAAGAACAATACCAATTGATGGATATGGTTTTTGTTTTTCATAAAAAGCTTGAAGTTTAGATATGCCTTCATAAAAACTCACTTTTATGCAAGTTTCTCCTGATGAGATCAGAGATGCCATGACTGTAGATCTTGCATCATTCAGAAATATTTGCCAATATTTTAGTTGATATTATTTTATAATATCAACTAAAACCAGTTTCTAAAGAGAATTACTTAACTGGTGTGACATTAGTTTATCAATTACTGTGCACTGTACTGAGCCACCGCTGATTTCTTTATATTTTGCTTCTAAGCTGTCAGACGTTCTTGTAATATATTTTGTTTTTTTTTTATAAATTGATTTTCACTACTAGTTTTCTAAAGGTCTTTTAAAGGTTTTTTTTTCCTCATTTTTGTGGAAATTGGCTGCTTTTTCACTCTTTTTCCATCAAGTTATCGTACCTGACCATTTCCAGGGGAATGTTTTTGTTTAAGCCACTTAACACTGACCTATGAATCATTCAAGCATAATAAAGGCACCTAACTTAAGGAATGAGGTAGTGTTGTGTCTACACATAGCAGACAACTTTGCAAAGAACCTGTTTTAAATTGCATCTTTGAGCACTTTGTTACTAGCCGTGTGTTGTGAAAAACACATTTTTTTCTAATTTCTTTAGTTGAATCTTTGAAAAATGCCGGAGATAACAGTTTGACAGACCCATGAAAAATTTACACAAGTCAAACGAAACATTACATACGTGAAGTAATTGCTCTCTAACTGCTCAGGTTAACACATACTTTGCTTTTTCCACAGTTGTTGGCCGCCAACCAGCTGTTAGAGCAGACGCAGCAACCTTATAGTTACTTGATTGAGACGGTGAGACAAAGGGATGCGCAGATCAGCATACTGAAGGAGCGTGTCACCTCACTTGAGGGCAATGTCAGGTACACATGCTGCATACTACATTTAAAAAAACAAACAAACAAAAAAACATTCATTCACGACCTTTTCATCTGAAGGTTGTTCAGCCTTCTCTCCTTCTTGGAAAGCGTCCTTTGCTAATTTGTTTGGTTAAACTTTGTATCTTGTAAATCACTTGATACAATAGGGAGCCCATACCTCCCCACCCTTTGGTTTATCTCTTCCTTATCATTATCTCCCAGTCTCATCTTTTGTCCCTTTCACACCTAGCCCATTATGTCTGTGCAAACCTGCATGCGTGCATGTAAGTCCCCACATGAGTGCATTTACAGGTTCTTGGCAATGACCTAAATTGCTGTTGTGCCCTCTCTATTTTAGCCTGTCAAAAATGCAAATTGACAGACTGCAGGTTTTCTCTTGCTGTGTGCTACCACGGAGCGCTCACCAGGTGCAGGAACAAGAAGGGTTAAAAAAAAAGAAAAAGGTTAAGAAAAATGCTGTCAGACTTTCCCTGTCGGAAACATTTAAGTTTTCTCTGTGGGTCTGCAAGGTTAACCTGTTTGGCTGCAGATGCACAGCTCAGGAGAATTTTACGTGATGCACTGAAGTCCTGTTGCTTTTATCTGTATGAACGTTTTTGTTTATTTTTGCATACACAAATGAATGAACATTCAAATTACGATGCATACCACACCTTTACATCTGATCCTGTGTGTCCCATCTCCTGACCTGACGCTAACGAGCAATAAAAAAAACTAAAACCCACTAAATCTGCTTCATGAAGGACATTAATATTACCGTTTCTGCAGTCTTTAAATATTTTTGTTCAAGACATGTTAATATTTTACTACATATACTTACTGAATAAATATTAAGTGTACTTTTTGTATTAACTAGAGATCTGATCTCTCTGTCTGTGTTTGAATATGACCTCAGTTCTCTGAGGAAAGAGCGGACCGCTCTGGAACAGGTGAAAAACAACATGGCCGCTGATCTGGAGCGACTTCTCAACCATCAAGAGGTACACAAAGGGACAGTGTTGGTTACTGGTTGTGTTTTGTTTAGTGTTTATGTGATTGTTGGCAATCAATTTGCTGAATGCTTTCTGATGATATCAAGATATAAAATATTCGTAACTGAGTGGGTGGTACATTTATTCGAAAAGCTACATTGCTATTTATATTATCAGTGGTTGTATGGAGTTTTTGTTGGAGCTTTTTTTTTTTCCCCAAACCCCACACAAATAGACTCCAGGGGGCTTAATTATAAGCTGCAGTGATATTTCAATAACACATCACTGTAAACATAAAAAAGCCAGAGTATTCTCTGAAAGTAAGGTCACAAAATGAAAAGTGAGAAACCTGGAAAAAAGAAAGAAAGAAAGAGTGGTTGGTTGGTTTCTTAGTTTCAAAGTGTTGGATCAACTTCATCACACAACTGACGTAAACAGTAAAACCCTCAAACAGCAGTCACCTCTTCCAGCTCAGCATGTTGTTTTCTTCTGAAGTGCAGACAGAAATGTGGCAATTCTGAGCTCAAATCACAAGAGTTTACTTGTAGCTAAACCAGACTGTAAAGCAAGCTGTAATTTGATCACATCATCCGCTGCAGGGATGAGACACAATTTCTTTTTTTCTTTCTCCTACAAGCTCATGACTTAAACCTCAGAGTTTTTTATTGTTTTTTTGGCAATGTATGAGTTTAAAAACTAAAGGGATTACATTTATTTTTTGTTATAGTACTTCCCAGTTTGCATGAATTTAATGACTAATGATTGCAGATCTAGTTTTTGGTGATGAGGTTTTGCAGCTGTTACCTGCGACATCCACTGTATTGTCTGAGTGTATCTTGCTCCAGGTGAGTACCGTACCTGTTAATCCATGCTTCAGTGGAACAACACGTATAAAGATTTAATATCTCTCTTTAATTATGGCCCCAACAGTCTTTGGTAAATATTTAGGAATTTTCCTTTATAATATCCTAGAGCTCAAGTCTTCTTTAAATAAATAAATAAATGAACACAAACCTAATTATAATTTAATCAGATAATTCACACAATTTTTTTTTTTCTTAAAAACAAAACGTTTGGTATTTTTGTCTGAAATTTAACGGTATTAATCAATTATAAGTAATAGCTGCTGATTAATTTAATGTTGATCTTTACACCGGAGAATTTAGTGCAGCGTCTTAATGATCGTAGGCACGCGTGCGCGTACACGCAGGAGTATGTTCCCAAGCAGGCCGTTTGCTGTATGAAGTATGTGCCCTGTCATAGACAGCTGTTCCTCAGCTTGGCTATTTGGGATGCCACTAGCGTGTGTGTGTGCTCGTGCGTGTGTGCGAGATGCCAGGGCTCATGTCCTCAGAGGTGATAAATAGAACCGTGAAATGGCCGAGAGTCCCCCTCTCTGCCCTGCTGCTGTTGCCGCTGCTGCCATCCCTGCAGACCCTTAGTGCAAGTCGTCCCATCGCTGGACTGTGTTTGGTTTCTTCGACCTGAATTCTTGAAAGCAAATGTTTCACAAAACATTAATAAAGATAAAAGAGAAGAATTACATTTTTTTTGTTAAATCAAACGATTATATAGTTGAAATCTGTGGCCTTTTGGACTCTACACTCCCAGTAATTTCTCATGCACTCCTTCATTTATTGTTTTACTCTTGTTTCCTCTTTTTTCTTTTATGAACTGTGCGGTTTTCCAGGAGTTAGCCATGATGAAGCAGGTCCTGATCAGCATGCGGTCCAGACAGGCAGACGCTCTAAACCTGTTGGAAACAGATAAAACTGGTATCAGGACTTCTGGATTGGGGAAAAAACAGCAGTCCAAACGTATCAACAGGACAGCAGAAGAAGAATCACCAAACAAACCCAAACCCACTGTGTTTGTAAGTGACTGTTGTAGCACCACCCTTTTTATGAGTCACACCATGTGAACGTGCTTAGACACATGTTAGGACAAAGCAATAGAAATGAAAGGATGAACAGTTTTTTAAAAAATCATTTAGTGAAATAGAAGTTTTTCAGTGAAGTTTGCTAACTGAGCATATGTTCTAGTATGTAGCCATGAGTCATGAGAAAGTCAAATAGATGAGAGTATATTAACAAATCTCTTTCACTTTTCATATTATTTCTTTCTCTTATTTTCATTTACAGACAAATAAAGAAGTTCCCGATTGGTACCAAAAGCAGAAGCGTAAATCCAAGTGACCGTTTGTGTCATGACTGGAGCTCAGGACTTTTGTTTTTAACTTTTAGGTTTTGTCTAGACCTTTGTAAGTTACAGTTCATTTCATTGCTTGATTGCTTTTCAAATACAAAGGCACAAACAGTTTGAACTGTCTAAGCGTTTTGTTTTTCTCATCCTTTGTTAAATATTGTTCATGGGATAAATTATCTGTGTGCTGGTCCAGAGATATTACCTTCCACAGGGTACACATTCCAAGCTAACTGAAGGCCCAAAAATTCCTCTTTTTTGGCAGTGGCCTGTTTTATTAGGTCTGTCTATCATTATTTTCTCATCTTTTCCAAGTTTGCAGATACTGCTCGCTACAAACAACACTGCAGGAACCTTAGCCTTTGATTTGCACAAGCTGAGGTTCCTTAAATAGAGACATAGTAGGCATACCTTTATTATTTCTGACCATGTTCTTATCGGTGTCATATTAAATTTGGGCGGGCGGCTAATGCGAAACTGGTTTGTCCCTTTTCAGGAGTTTTGTTATCCTACATGTGATGTTAAAACTCGCATAAGAAGTAGTAGTAGATCTGTGGAAAAGGTTTCATAAACCTCAAGAGTAGAAAGGCTACAATACACTCAACTAAGAAAATATCAGAAAATCAGTTTTGGAAGAGAAAATGTCAGCCAGATGAACTTGAGATTAACCTTGATGGGTGTGAGGTAGGGTGAGGAAAGAATGAAAGGAGAAGGTTTGGACTGGATGTTAACCCGGCGAATACATTCTCCTCAAAACACAGTGGAGACGAGTGATGGCATGGGTAGGCATAGCTTCTCAATTCACTAAGGTAGTAGTGATCATTGATAATGCAACAGAAACAGCTGGATTAATCGTGAAGTGTATGGTTTTTGCTCATATTCAGCTAAATGCAGCTGTTGATTGGAAGCTGCTACACAGCACAGATGTTGAGGGAGCCAAAGCATGTTGCACAAGGCCCAGGTGATTCTGAATAAAGTGTAAAGAAATGGGATATTCAGTAGTGGCCGTGTAAATCTTCTAATCTCACCCTGATTGAGCATCAAGTTTTGAAGGCGAAAGGCAGAAAGACTCAAGAGCAAACCATAATTGATGGCAGCTGCAGTGAAGCATTTGCTTTACTGCATTTGGTTAAATCCATGGATTTCAGACTGTCATTGTTTTGGCAAAGGTTTCTCAACAAAGTACTACAACTGAACATTATACTCTATAATTATTCCTCTATTTGTCCAATTACACTTGGGTAGATAAAGATGGCTCATATATTTTTTGCGTTCAGCCCTCTGGATTACAGATGAGCCTGGGCTTCACCTGATTCTTGATTGTTTAACTTCAAATCTACTGAGGTGGAAGCAAAAGGCAAAAATATAAACGTTGTGTTCAATTCAATTTTATTTATATAGCGCCAAATCGCAACAACAGTCGCATCAAGGCGCTTTATATTGTAATCTATTATTGTTATTGTAATTGTTTGGTAATTTACTAATTTGATGGGTTATAGGAGTCAAATAAACCCACAATATTTTAATAATAGTTTGATGACAACACAAATATTTCCTGTAACAGATGGTCTCATTTTACTCAAGTACAGTTTTAAGATACTTTCAAGTATTTCCATCGAATTCCACTTTATTCTTCTGCTCTGTCCAATAGTTTCCTTGATTCCTTACTAGACTAACCATTAATGCAACATCGAAACAGTTTATAGATTATAGACACAGCATTACACAAGAGTCCACACCTGTAACCACACCTGTACCTGCTGTAACTATATTAAGTAACACGCGTGTGTCATATGCAGTCATGTGCATCATACCCACTATTTGACCAATTTCGCGGTGCCTTTCCACGTTTTATCTGTTTTTATCATCTCAAAACACTTTACAAAAACTCTGTTGGTTAACGTGGCTGCGATGAGTTTAACTTTCACCACTTTAATGCGGTTTGACCGGTCTCGTGGACTTTTTTACGGCGCTGTTGTCGGTGTGTATGGATGGCAAACGTAGGGCGGTGGCCGGTGAATGAATGATCAAAGCGTTTTTAAAGGTTTGGTGGGCGGTGCGCGGTCTGTATTTACACTGGGACCGCTCCGCCCTGCGAACGCCAGATAGAAAACTGTCTGTGGGCCGGAGCAGAGGGATGAAACAAGTGGAAGGAGATGTAGCCGACAGGCACACATTAATTACTCTAACGCACGCACTACACCTCGTCAGCTCCACTCCTTTCTCGGTACGCTGTAGCATCCTCCTCTTTGCATAATAACACACGGCAAGCGATCGTTTTTGCGGCGCTGCGTCGGAGCTTCATGGCCGCAACACTCACGATGAGCGGCGGCGTGCAGGAGGATCCCTTCTACCCGCTGCAGAAGGCGACTCTGCCCGCTGGGTTCCCCTTGGAGGACTCGGCGTTGTTCGGCTTGGATTGCAAGATCACCGAAGCAGACAAGGCTGGACAAAATGATTACGCACAGGTAAACCGGTTGGAAATCAAACCGACTTTATACATTAGTGATGCATTTCACTGAATGGGCGTGGCAGTCTGGCTTTAAATCCAGCTTGTTTTTCTGTTTGCTTGTTTATTTGTTTATTTATTTGAGTCTAAATTTCAGTCGTCCCCCTCTGCGCGATCGTAACCGTCACTTTATTCAGCTCTATTTTCGGTAATAAGCGACCAGCTGGACGCGTAGTCGAGCACCTCCGCCTGCAAAACGCATTCACCGCATGTTTTCTATGCCAGCCAGCCAGTTGGTCACCAGTTGTTGGTCTCTCCTTGGCGTCCCTTCTCACCATCATACCACGCTGACAGCAACTGACTCCAGCTTCGGACAGAAACGTCCCGGCAACTCTGTCCCCAGTTAGAAAGAAACTTGTGCAACATAGCACGGAGATCTATAACAGCTGGTAGGATCAGGACCCTCAAATAGCAGCCCATCCCCAGACTACTACTGCTGCTGCTGTTTCTGCTGCTGCTGCTGCTGCAGGGAGACATGGGTGTTTCCCTATTCCCTTTCATGTTACTGTTTCATCCTCTGGTGCTCTGCTTCTTTAACTTTTATACCGATTAGACCCCCCCAGAGCCACAGGAGCTGGACCAAAAAGAGCAGTACGAAAGAAGCATTTTTTTATGCCAAGTTGTTCACCTGTGGTGTGCAGTTTGACCGGCGATTGGCTGCTCTGTTATGCTTGTAATAGCTGCACATGTTCAAATAAGAGGCGTTAGATCAGGTTCTTTATTGACATAACATCGTTTAATCCTCAAATGTGGGCCTCACCACCGTCAGGTTTCTGAGTTCAGCCTTGCAGGCGGCGAGGGAATGTGGCAACTGCCTTTTGATGACTACTTGATAAATGCTTTAGCAGTGACTGTCCTATCAAACCTTTTGTCTTCTCATAATAGTGGTTCAGAATAGAAGCACTGAGAAGGACTTAGTGAAGTCAGGCTGTGGTACTTTTCATTCAACAGAAAGTTTATTTTTATGTTAACTGCTTGTTTTTTGTTTGTTTTTTTTTTCTTAAATTTTTCTTTTTAATGTGTGTTTTCCCTTTTAATCCTCAGGCAAAGTGTGAGATGGACAGATATCTCTCCCCTCAGCCTCTTCCACTTCCAAACCCTGCAGACAACCAGCAGAAGTCACTCAGAGACAGCTCGTCAGCAGTGGATCAGTTCTTCACTGACGCTGGGGCTCCCTATACCCTCAACATGAATCTTTATCTCCCTGATGTCGGCTACCTGAGGATGGGCTTGTGCCAGCAGGTGCGGTCCCCTCAACACCAGAACCACCCGAGTCTCACTCACATTAAAACAGAATCTCCCTCCTCGTGTTTTTCCTCTAACCTGCAGCCCCACTGCCCCGGCACTACGCCCACAAGTAGCTGCAGCACATCCGGCCACGGCCCTGGCAGTATGGCCATGGAAAACTCCGCCACAAACATGACATTAACTGGGTTACCAGAATTCACCAGTGTTTTCAATCAGCTGGGAGGCAGCCGCGGTGGTGATTCACTGCCAGAAGTGTATGTCAAACAGGAAATGTCACCACAGTTTGAGCAGCACGCTCTCCACCACCACCATGACAACAGCGGCTCGCTGTTTCAGCTCCTAAACTCTGGCTTGGATCATCGCCATAGCAATGGCATGGAGGCTCAGCATCATCATCACCATCAGCAGCAGCAGCAGCAACCGATCCAACACACTACCACGATGCACACACCTTTTCATGATTTGCCAGTAGCTACTTCTGCTTCTCAACAAGAGCAAACTGTCAAGCCTGCCTACCGCTGTCTAGGTGGTGGGGTATACACACATCCTCATTCTCAGGCACATCCCCAATTCCTCCAGCAGCAGGTGCCCTACCTGCCACCCTCTCCGCCAAACTCAGAGCCCGGCAGCCCTGACAGGCAGAAGGAGCTGCTCCACAACATGTCACCACCTCCGTCGTATGCTGCCACCATTGCCTCCAAGCTTGCAGGTAGCACACCCGGACTTGGACCTGGCCCGGGACCAGGTGGCTTAGCTCTGCCCCACCCTACAGGCCCCACACCAGTCCCAGGCCCAGCCACAGTCCTTCCTCAAGCCCACACGACAACATCAACCCCAAATCCAGCACAGAACGCAGTGGCTGTCCGCTACAACCGAAGGAACAACCCCGACTTAGAGAAGCGACGGATCCACCACTGTGATTACCCAGGTTAGAAGAACGACACACACACACCACTGAATGTGCACTGTGAATGTAATCACCGTTGTGTGTTTAGTTTATCACTGCATTGTAGTGAATGTTTCTGTTCATGTTTTGAATGATTTGCCTATGCCTTTGGGTCGTGGAGGCAGAGTACACTCTGTACTGCCAGCCAGACTGTTACTACCTTTCAGTCAACTATCTGGTTCAAACACTGCTTTGCATATATTAGCACACCTCAAATGACTGTGGCACTTTCAGCTATGAGCTCTCAAACAGTGTGGTGGCTTTAGAGTAATCACTGGTATGATTGTGGAATGAACCTGTTTTTGTGTGTGTGAGAGAGAGTGCACGTTTTTGTATGCAGGGGCTGTGTTAATTAAAAAGATGTTCTCCTTGAATCATTTGATCTTTTTTCCCACACACATATCTTCATACTGTTACACTTGAGATTGCATGCTGAGATTAAAGTATTTATGTTCTTTAGCTGGCGCACACACACACAGACACACACACACATACAGACTGTATGATATGTAGCTACTTGTAGAACATGTAATGTCAGCTAGCCTGTGGCGGCATGTAAAATAGGCTTAAGCAGAGCCTACCGCAGCACGTTAGCACACGTCTTACTTCTTAAAAAGCCAGATGAAGCAGATCCATCATATTCACAGAGCCACACTTCATCCAAGTGTATGTATATTAGTCACACTGTTGCAGCTGCTCACAGTTTAATCATAGCAATACACGAAATTCTATCGTTTCCTAACTTAAAGTCATAAGATATCTGACGAATATCTTTCTAAATCGTTCAAAATCCTTAATGACCTTTCTGACATTGTAGAAACAAACTGTAGCGTGCGCAGAAGGAGAAAACAGAGGTTTTCAGGTCGCATTGTTGGTGATTCGAGGCTTGTAATCAAATGCCTTTTAATACCAAATGAGGCTATGAGGGCTGCTTTTAACAGAGCCTGTTTTGTTCATTTTGGAAAGCAGCAGATGAGATGGAGCAGGATTTGAGGCTCTACGAAACACACTTTACTATATTTGATTCCAAAACGGCTTCTGTTCTTCATTAGTTTGGATTTTTTGAATTCCACAGCTCAGTTTATTGGGTAAATGCATATTTGCCACGTGTGAATTACTTGGATTAAGCCGTCTGTTTGTGTTTATCTCCATGTTTGTCGTCAGGCTGCAAGAAGGTCTACACCAAGTCGTCCCATTTGAAAGCACACCTCAGGACTCACACTGGTAAGAGATTCCTCTAATTAATGCAGCTTTTTAAAAAGAGACCCATCAAAAAAAATGACGCTGCCCACAGGACTCGTATTTCAGTATCTGCACTGGCACTATGTTGCTAGGCAGAGTGTTGTGTTCTTGGCATGTGTGTGTAAATGTATCCTAGCCCATTCCCCATCCTCTGCCCAATATACTATTCCATCAAAACAGGTGGAAGTGACACACTTCTGCCAGGGGATGACTCTCAGACTATGTGGTCAGTGCTAAACGTGTGGTGCCATGTTTTTTTTGAATCCCATCGCCCGTTCAGGAATTGTTCAAATGCTTTAATGCACTTTTCCACTTTGATTCCGTTCTCTCTGCATTTCATTTTATTCCCTTTCTTCCTGTTAGGTTTAGATTTGAGCTTGGATTTGGACAAGCAAAGTCAATAAACAAATGCTTAGGTGTTGGGCCTCACCTCACTCCAGCTAACAAAACAAAGCTTCTGTTGATATCTACACATTCCTCGCTCATCTGGATACACACACAAAAGCCAGAATGTGTCCTAATTATGGATCTAAACTACTTGTTCGGAACATCGTTGCGGGTGTGCGTGCTTTGCATTTTCGTATCAGGAACATGACGCGACAATTATATATGGCGTCACTCATGCTGCAGGCTGATTGTGGTGATTGCACTTATTACAGACCGCAAGATGAGAACTCGACACGTAAATGTTATCTAGCAGCAACTACATGTCCTTTATGCCTCTGTCGGCCTCGCTTAGTTATTTTCTCCCCCCCCTTTTTTTCCCTCTCCAATCCTGTTCTCCTCTGTTTTTGTGCTCTCATACTTTCATCTTCAACCCTGCCCTCCTCCTTTATTTCTATCTTCGTCTATAACTCGTTCTCCGTCTCTTATTCAGCTGCTCGAATGCACACTTATGTACTCGTACACACACGTGCACACCCACACACGGACACTTCCACACACACCTGTCAGTAATCTCTATGAGATGATTCCTAATGCGTTTGGGTCCCACTGGGAGTTCCCACTCTAATCTCCATCAACATCCATTACCCTGATTGTTAGTGTGTCTGTGTGTGTGCATGTGTGGGTGGGTGTATTGTGAGAAATATCCTCTTTCTGTATTGGAAATCATTTCTGATTTTTCCCCCTTAAACAGCGCCTTCTCATGGTCTCTCTTCCTTGTGTTCGGTTTAAGGTGTGTGTCTTTAAGTTTGGTGACACTGTGGTTCTAACAGGTTTACTCTGGGTTTTTTTTTTTTTTTAAAGCAATGCTGCAGAGCTTGATGTGCTTGTTTGAAGAGTTGGTCACCTAAATGACAAAAGGGGGGTAAAAAAATTCTTGGATGTCCCCAGCGGCGTTTATCATGCGGAAATAGTTCTGTTTTTATTTGTCCAGATTATAAAACAAGCCATCTCTGTGATTTATGCTGCCACTTTAGTTTAATGGTAGTTAATGGGATTATGTTTATAGTGCAAAGAGCTTTGAAAAATGATTCTCAAATAGTTGTTTTTTCCACTATCATTATTATTATTAACTTTAGCCTTGGTGGCCTGAATAAGCCACAGAAAAGGCTCAAAACATTTTCACTGTTTTCTCATTACAATGGAATGGGGGGTATTTAGAGTAATGGGGACACTGATTCTGGACTCAGTTTTTGATATGTAAATAGAGGTTAAAGGCAATGAGGAGTGGAAGAAGGGAAACAACCGCACAGCTTGATTTATTCCATTTGATTTTGCACCACAGTGGCTCATATTCATGAATCTTAAAAAGCCAAAAAATGTGTTTGCTGAAATGAGATGCTATTCCACCTAACCTTCAAAATCTGGATGAAAGGGTACAAAAAGAAGGAAAAGGGAGGAATATAGCTCAGCAAAAATCAAGTTCCTTCCAATCCTTTCATATTTTTTAAGCATCCACTGTTATCAGACACACGCTAAATACAAAGAAGCAGTAGATGCGTCAACATGTACAAGTTATAATTCTAAGTTTTTCTGTTCTGGTCTTTTGCAAGTACTGTAGGTTTGTCAGGTTGAATTTAAGTTGCAGAAAAATGAATTATACTTGCATACTAAATATTTAGCAAGTGCTTTACATTTAGTAGACCTGAGTATACACTGGTCAACTTGTGGGCCTAAGACAAAACTCTCCCAGAGGGACAACGAGCAGAGCAGACTGGTTTTTCAGAAAGTGCCTGAAGCTGCAGGTGAATTTTGCTGGAATGACTGACAGAAAGACATATGTGCTGCAGTCATTAAAGAAAAATACCTGGAGGGAAAAGTTGACAATACAGACCAGGCACTGTGGGAAAATTATGAAGCACTGGTTGCTGCATTGGCGTGTGAATGCTTGATGAATGCTTTTGAGTGACAGTGTTATGACTGTATATCTAGTTAGACAACTGGCGTTTTCGGTGAAGCCTGTTTTCCCAGTTCCTCCACCCAACTGTATGAATCGCTTTAGTTAGAGAATTGGCTTGTGTCACAATAATTGTTGTTCTTAGTACCTGAATATTGACAGTCCTGCTCTGGTTCGTATCGTGTGATCAAGCGATAGCTCAGAATAGATCACCAGACGGCACGGCGGTTTGCACTCACTTAAACTCTTTCTCCTGTCCTGCAGGCGAGAAGCCGTACAGGTGTACGTGGGACAGCTGCGACTGGCGTTTTGCTCGTTCGGATGAGCTGACGCGTCACTACAGGAAACACACGGGCGCCAAACCCTTCCAGTGTGGCGTCTGCTCACGCTCCTTCTCCCGATCGGATCACCTTGCCCTGCACATGAAGAGACACCAGAACTAGCAACGTTTTGCACACATGCTCAAACATACAAGCACTATCTTGACAAAACATAAAGCATTCACTCCGTGTCCCGCAGCTACACGAGCTGCCTGATGCAGAGTGACTTTCAGTGACATCACAGCTCTTCCTGGTGCTGCTGTCGTGGGCTAAAACACTTCGATAGCCTAACAAACATGTTGCTCTTAACGCCAAGTGGAACAATTTGGAGGTTTTAAAGTAGGAAGATGGTGGCCAGATGATCTTCTGGTCCCTTAACCACCAGATACACATATTATAGATGTGTTTGGGCAAATGAAAAGATGCGATGGGGTGTGACTGGAATGAATTAAAACAGCATCTTTTTTGTCTTTATTGTAACATAGAACTGGCTTAATTTTCTTTTATAAAAGAGAAGCTTTTGTTTGCAAAACTAGTCAAGCCAAATCTTTGTTTACTCATTGATTTGTTAGTTTCTCTCTAGAACTGGAATGTCCAGGTTTTTATTCTTTACCAAATCCTTAGATTTGCACTAGAATTGGTAATCTAAGCCTCAGCCTTTTTGGCCCAAGTATCTCATTCACCACTGGAACGATCATTATCACTACTGGACTACATCTCTGTGTGCACCACACAAATCATTGCTGTTCAGATATTAAAAATTGAAGGCATTTGTACTCTGGAGAGAGGGAAGAGAGAGCAGGGAAAAAGTGAGAGTGTGGGGGTGGAGATGGAGATGGAGAGAAAGACCGAGAGGGAGAAATTTTTGATTTTAGAGAGAGGAGATTGGAAGACGATTGAGAAACAGAGGGAGGTGGATGGATGCTAAAGAGCAGCAATTAGATGATGAATTATTCAGGTCGTCTTTTGATGGATTTCCATCCAGAGAAATGTAAGCAGAACCCATAGACGTGTTCTAGGACTCATTCAGTTAATACAGAATCGACAGTATTTGATGCACAAACTTGAATGTGCACTGAAGTGTCTTCAAAATGCAGCATGCTATTAGTGTAGATCAGTCTCACCCAGCGTTTTACTTCTGTTAATTGTTTTAACCAAAGCATCATGTTCAACACATCGCCAACACCTTATTAAGTGCCTCTTTCTCTCATTTATGTGTTTTTGTTCTCTAGTAGCAGAGCTGTGATGAGTGTAGTCAATCGTTTTAAAAACATGGTGCTTTTTAAGAAAAGAAAAACTAAATCTGTTAAATCTCTAGGTTTAGCTTTGAAAAGGTAAATCTCTTGAATTATAAGGTAGCCACCCTTGTGGTAATGTAACAGCACAGCTCTGGCCACTTCGCGGACATCCTGGGATGCTCTGGCTCTACGGAGCTATCTTGGCTCTAACTACTCCTGGACACGTTTTGTTAAAGGACGGGTTCACTTTGTTTTTTTGTTTTTTAAAATTTATTATTAACTTGTTGAAACTTTGGTTCAGCTTCTAAAGTTGAAGATTAGTT